TTTTACTTATCCATTCATCAGTTGATGGACTTTGGATTGTTTTAATTTTTTGTGTATTAAAAATAATGCTGTTATGAACACATGTGTGCACTTTTGGTGTGGACATATATTTTCATTTCTCTTGGGTATGTACTAGGAGTGCAACTGCTGGGTGAAATGGTTACTCTATATTTCACGCTTTGAAGAACCGGCAGACTGTTTTTCAAAGCAGCCGCACTATTTTCCATTCCCACCAGCAGTGTATGAGGCTTCGGATTTCTCTGAGTCCTTCTCATTACTTGTATTTGTCTGAGTTTTTGATTTCAGCTACCCTAGTGAGTGTGAAGTGAGATCTTCTCGTGTTGTTGATTTCCATTTCCCTGATGACTAATAACATTGAATATCTTTGCATTTGCTTATTGATATTTGTACATTTTATTTGGACAAATGTCTATTCAAATATGTTGCCCATTTTTCAAGTGAGTTGTCTTTTTACTATTGAGTTGTAAGAGTTCTTTATGTATCCTAAATATAATTCTATCAAATATATTATGTTCTATTTTGTGAGTTTTTTCATTCTCAGTGGTGTCCTTTGAAGCATAAAATTTTTAAGTTTGATGAAGTCAAATTTTATCTTTTTTTTCTTTGCTTCTTTATGCTCTAGGTGTCATAGATAACAAACAATTGCTTAATCCAAGGTCTCAAAGTATTTCACGTATGTTTTCTTCTAAGAGTTTTACATTTTAGTTCTTACTTTTAGGTCTATAATCCAGGTTGAATTTATTTTTATATGGTGTGAGATGGAGGTCTCATTTCATTCTTTTTGCATGTAGATATCCAGTCGTCTCAGCACCATTTGTGGAAAAGACCATTCTTTCCCCATTGAATTGATTGGATTATGTAATCTATTTACATTTAATATTATTACTATAGTTGACTTTTTACTTGCCACTTTATGTTAATTTTCTATATGTCTTAATTCTCTCTCTTTTGGTTTCTTTATTCCTCCTTTAGTTATTTTTACATTAAGTGAATATTTTCTAGTGTAACATTTTCATTTCTTTAGTGATTTTTTTATAATAAATTTTTTGAGTTATTTTCTTAGTGGTTCTTCTAGGACATATCATAGACATCTTAACTTATCAGACTCTACTCCAGATTTATAATTAATTCCCGTGATATACAGAAATATTCCTCCTATACAGCTCTCCTTCCTCTTCTCACCTTTTGTGTTATTGTTATAAATATCACATCTATGTAATTACACAACCAAAACCACGTTGTTATAATTATTATTTTTATATATATTTTGTCTATTAAGAAAGCTGACAGAAGGAAGAGAACAAATACATATTTATAGAATTTGATATATTAACTTTCTTATTTACCATATTGGATCTCTCCATTTGCTCTAGTTGATTCAAATGATCATAAAATGTAATTTGCTTACTCCAATATAGCTTTGTTTTCACTCACTTCTTTAGTGCTGCTGTTGTCAAATTTATTATGTTTCTATATGACATAGGCACAAAATATGATTTTATGTGTATTACTTTATATAATTGCTTTTTAAATCTGTTAAAAAAAGAAATATGCATTTCTACGGTCATTTATAATCACATAACTATGTTTACTGATGTATTTTATTTTTTAAAGTGGGTTTGAATTATTTCCTGGGATCATTTGCTTTTAGCCTAAAGACTTATTTTAGTATTTCTTATAATCTGTGTCTTCTAGCAATTAATTCTTTCATTTTTAGTTTATCTAGGATTGTCTTTATTTCACCCTCATTTTTGAAAGATAGTTTTCCTGTATTTAAGATTCCTGGTTGATACTTCTTCATTTCTTTCAAGACTTTTTCTGTGTCATCCCACTGCCTTCTGGTCTCGATTTTTTCTAATGAGAAGTCATATGGCATTTTTGTTTGGGTTCCCTTGTACATGATGGGTCATTTCCTCCTGTTGCTTGCAAAATTTTCTCTTTGTCTTCAGCTTTTAGCACTTTTGCTATGATATATCTGGATGTGGATCTTTATGAATTTGTTCTATTTAGTGGAAGAAACTTATTGTATGTGTAGATTAATGTTTTTCACCAAATTTGATATTTTTCAGCAATTATACCTTTGAATATTTTCTGCTTCTTTCTCCTCCTTCTAGTCCTTTCATTACGTGTACTTTGATGTCTTAATGGCATCCCACATTTGTCTGAGGATCTGTTCATTTTATTTCATTTTTCCTTCTCTGTTCTTCAGATTGCAAAATCTCTATCAATCCATCTCTACATTTACTGACTTTCTTTTGCCGGTTCAAACCTACCATTGATCCCCTCCAGTGAAGTTTTCATTTCACTTATTGTACTTTTCAACTCTAGAACTTCCATTTGATTTATTTTTGAAAATAATTTCTGTCTCTTTTTTATAGTCTCTATTTGATAAGACATTGTTATCATACCTTTGTTTATTTCTTTAAGCATGGTTTCCTGTATTTCTTTGAACATGTTCATAACGGCTGCTTTGATGCCTTTATCTATTAAATTTGACATTTGGGGCCTCTCACTGGTAGTTTTTGTTGCCTACTCTTTTTCTCATGCGTTAGTCACACTTTCCTATTTCTTTACATGTCTCAATTTTTGGTTGAAAACTAGACATCTTAGGTAACATACTGTTGTAAATTTGGGTAACAGTGTTCCTCCGCACTCCAGGACTTATTTTGTTTTTTGCTTTTTTGTTTGTTTAGTGACTTGGAGGGACTATTTTAGTGCATTTACAGCACCCCTCCCTCCCCACAGTGTGAAGACTCTGAGATCATTCTTCAGAGGGTAAGCCTCTGGCATGTCCACAGCTACCCTGGGGTGAGAGTGGTTTTAGCAGGTCTCTCACTGATTGTCTTTTCCTGATTTCTCTGTTAAGCAGTCCACATCATTTGGTATTATATCCAGCTATTAGGCTGCACTAAATTCGGGCCAATTGCTGTATTGGTTTTGTTAATGCCCCAGGGGCATAAATTTCTTCATGGTCTGATCCAATTTTGCAGGCGTAGTTTGTGAGGTCACTCTCTGAAGTTTGTTCCAACCCCAGGAGGGCTCTTTCCCTGGTTTTCTCTGGTGAACTAATGGGCTTGCAGAGTACCTTGGTGTCCCATAGAGTCTCAGCCTTGCCTTAATAGCTTATCATTAAAACATCCATTGTTTCTGAGTATACACTTAGGCTTGAACTTTCCAAAATTCTACTTCAAATCAAGTCAGTTCCTTTGGACAGAGCTTCAGGGTGCTTTGTTCTTGCAAACTACCTCTCTGGGTGACATCTCTGTGCCACTGCTCCACAGATGGAGTGCAGGAATGACATCATTTCTTTGCGAATAGTGCACTGGCCTTTAGTGATAGCCTTTGGTCTTCTTTGCTTACCTCTCTTGGTATTGTATCTTCATTTATGAGTGAGCTAGGGAAAGGATGATCAGGGTCCTAGTGTGGTTGGCCTGCCATGCCCAGGGTAGAGTATCCACCTTATGAATTGGAGCTGGGTAGAGGAAAGGAGCCCCTGATCTCTTGGCCACATCTCCAGGATTGTAGCCTAAGAAACTCAGAGCTGGAGTTGATGAGAAATGCACGCAGCCTGGCCTTCTCAGTGAGGTACTATATGTCTTGACTAGGAGCTTAGGGGAGAGGGATCCTTGTCTTCCTGGCCATACCTATGCAGAGTAGGGCTTCCATAACACTGTGTTGGGTAGGAATAGGACGTATGTTGTGGCTCAACTGCCATAGACTTTTGCTCTTTTTACTGAGATTTAGTATATTTTCTTGAATAAAAATTATTATTTTTTTTGCTGTTTCCCATAGGACAATTTTCAGAGGCTGAATTTTAATGTTTTCTATAATGCCTAGATCCTACCTTTGAATGAGCTACTTTATATTCCATAAGATCAAAACTTCTTAGCTCCCCAGATTTCTAACCTCATAATCTTACAATCACAAAATTAAAATTATTACCTTATTATTTCTTCACAATATCCCAAAGAATTTAGTGAGTTAAAATAGATGCTTTTTGAAAAAACAGATTAAATAGTTAAAATTATTCCTGAAAAATACTCATTTTAGCTTCAGAATCTTGTCTAGTCAAAAAACAAAACAAAACAAAACCTGGTAGAGTATCTCTTAGATTAATTAATATTCTCTGTGGTTTAAATTTCTGTCTGTTTGTTTAGGAGCTACCACTGGCTATGTACCAGTAAACACACTTTTTTGCTAATGATTTGCTTATAGACTGTTTATTTTTTCTTCTTACGAAAATGGGTTAGTTCAGAGAAAAAGATTAGAAGTTTTATTGACTATACATCACTAAGAAAACCTTTCAAGGGTTTTGGTCTCTTTTATTTTTACTACATTTGTCCCCAATTTCTAAGTGAAAAATACATATTTCGACCTTTATTTCATTGAACAATTGGCTTTTATCTTACCTCTTTCATAGCTTAAAGGTGTGAGAATGGAAGAATGGAAGCACACATTGGGAATGTTGAAGCATCAGATTATGCTTCTATCTATTGGTATTCACCTTTTGGGTGGTTCATTCCTACTTTCTGAGAAATTGATGAATTGTTGTGTTAACCCTTTCTATCCCTCTGGATAACTGGGGGAGCCAGGCAGGGGGTGGAATCTTCAAGGATTCTGAATAAAGATTTGGTGTTTAAAGACAAGGAAAGAGCAAGGGAGATTTCCTCTTAAGCAGTTATTTACAAGAGGGAAGAGCAAGACCCAAGGGATCTCATTATAAAGTTGAACAGGATTGCTGGTGTTTATGATCTCACTTTCTCCATATCCCCAGGGATTCTGTCACTTTGAATTTTAACTTCTCCCAATACTATTTGAAGCTGTTAAAAAATTTCAAGTGAATTTCATACTAGTTCACAGAGCAAAAGTACCTTTAGAGTTTTCTCTCTCAGAGGAGAAAGACAATAAAAGAATTGATTATTGTTCAGAATCGAAGTAAATCAGCTAAAACTCAATGCCAGGTCTTTTTTCCTTTTCAGATGCCAGGCAATCATCAAAGCAGCATGAAGGAATAATCAGATCACCAGAGACAGACTGGCAACCGTTCAGAGCTGGTATCTAATAACCTCCTTCTCTAGTGTATAGTCAACTTCTTAAGTGGCTGAAATGTCCCCCTGGGGGAAGACTTGAGGGAAGACTCTTGAATATTATTTTGTTGCATTGCAGGATCCTTTATTAAAGGAATTCTCCTCAATGTCAATTCAGAGAATATGGGTCTGTGAACTAGCTTAGGTCTGGAAACTGGGCAAGAGGCCATGAATCTTCACTATATTGATTCAAATTATATTTCTGCCCCCAGACCTATAAATTTCCTGCTAATATGTTCCAACTAACATCTTAGTAGTTTAGCCAAGTATCTTATTCTTAAGAACCCTATCATAAATTATCCATCACCACAGATCCCTGCAGGTCAAAATGTCTTGGTCATGTGACTTAATTGTAGTACCCAGTTCCACCTTGTAAAGAAGGTTAAAAGCCACTTCTTGGCATCTAATTTTCCAGAATATCGTTATTTTTGATATCAAGTACAACAGTTCCATTGCTGTATTTCCTACCATCATCGATTTTGCACGTCATGTTCCTATTAAAACTCTCAGAGACATTAAAAGAAGATTACTGCAATGTGGATAATTTTTAAAAAAATCACTGGCCCACAGAAGTTAGACACCACAGGGCATTTTAAGAATACTGATACTCTCCTTACCAGTTCATTTCTTAATGCCTTAGTGGAGGAAATGTCCTTCAAGCTTTCCATGGTTATGTTTGGAGAGTAGCTGAGCATATTGCCTTAGACAGATTTCAAAATTCCTATCTTCCTGATACTGCTAGTTCCTTATTCTACAAGGCATCAGGGAACTTCCAGCTTTTTAACCTAATTGACTGTAGACTATCACTGCATTGAAGCTTCAGTTAGCCAATGCAGCATACACTTTCAGGAGCTTCAGCCAAGCCATTGTATCCCGTACTTGGGTGATAACACTCATGTCATTAAATTCAGATCATTCAAGCATTATATTTCATATTCTTTAACATTCACTGCTATACACACTCTCAAACTTCTGCTAATACAAATTGTAGGGAACTGTACTCCTTTCAAAGTAATTACTCATGGAGCAATATTTGTACCTCTTTGTTGTTATAATTTTCCTTGATGATTGGTGAAGTTGAGTACATTTTCCTTTATTGGTCATTTGATTGTCCTCTTTTGTGAAGTGACTGTTCTATTAGCTGTCTTTTTCTTATTGATTTGTCAGAATTCGTTATATATTCTGGATAGGAGTCCTTTCCTTGGGACAGCTAGACAGACAGACAGACACACAAATATACAAAACACATTGCCTCTCTTAATGGACCTTTTGGTATACAGATGTCCTAAATTTTACTATATTCCAATTTAATCAACTTGTTCTATTATGATTAATAGTTTATGTCTTGGTTAACAAATCTTTTCCTATTCAAAATTCATGAAGAACACCATCAAAACCCAAATAGTTTTACTTCTCACATTTGTATCTATAATCAAGTTGAAATTGATTTTTGTGTATAAAGTTTAGATAGTTTTCTCCCATAAAGATATCCATTTCACCTGGAACCATTTATTGAAAAGACTGTCCTTTCCCTGCTGCACTGCAGCGTCACAATTGTCAGAAATTGGTTGACTGTCTATGTGTAGGGTCTGTTTCTAGACTCTTTACTCTTCCTTTGGGCAGTTTGCTTACCCTCATCCTTGAATACAATGTGTTTTGGAAGTTTAATCATCACCAGAAGTGGGAGTTTGTTATTATTCCCAGTTTGCTAAGAATCTTTGCTTTCATATAAGTGAATGTTGAAATGCTTTTCTGAATCTATGGAGATAATCTTGTTATTTTTCACTTTTATTATGTCAACATCATGGATGAATAACAGAATAATGTGGTGATTGATTTTCAAATGTTAACTCAACCTTGGATAGTTGGAGTAAACCCACTTGGTTGAAATGTATTAACCTTTCTTTATTTCTGGATTTGATTTGTTAAGATTTTGTTAGGAATGTTTGCATCTATGTTCATGAGAAATATTATTCTTCTCTTATTTTATTTTTTGGTAATGTCTTTGTAACATTTTGAAGACAAGTTTATGCTGAACTTATAAAAAAGAGTTAATACATACAATTGCTTACTACCAAATTACAAAAATGATTAATGTACTTGCTGTATGAACACAAAAGTTTGAAACCAAAGATGATTCATTAACCCTGTAATCATATCAACCTCTGTACCAAATTTATTCCCACATTTTATTTTGGTAGCATAATTTTGAGAAAGTCCCGACACTTGAAAAAAATAGCTGCAAATAGAAATAGGTTTTAGTCAGTTTGTTTGATATATGAGGATTTTTTTAAAAGTAGCTAGAGACAACAGGAGGGTTTGAGATTTGCAGAAAAATGATTTAATCTTAACAGGAACAGATTAGTGAGTTGTAAAAATTTATAGTTAGCACATACAATTTATACATTTTTGTTACAGTATCATGATAGTTTAAAGGTATTTAATCAATCCTAATTTAAATCCAACTTTTGTAGGATGCTTCTCCTCTCTCTCCTTAACACAGCTCTTGGACTCCGTGGAGCCTGCTTTGTTGCCGCAGCTGTAGAAGGATTGTCAAACATGACAACTAGTGATTTTGAAAGACATTTTTAGTTTAGTATCAATCCCCAGGAATTTGGGACATTGATGCTAAAATATAAGCAAAATTTTTAGGTATTATTTTCACTTTCAGATGATGACTACTACTACAGTAAGTTGACTATGATTTAAAGGTTACACGAGGCCAATTTCTTTATTGGAAACTTTTTGTAAAAAGATACTAATGTACTGCTGTTTCTCCAGAACCTTTTTCTTTTCCAATCAGCCTCTTCATGGCCCCCTTGAACTCCTTATTCCTTAGTGTATAAATCAATGGGTTCAAGCTGGGAGTAACAATGGAATAAAAGATACTGAGAAGTTTACCCTCATCCTGAGAAGGACTATTTCCTGGTTGTATGTACATGTAGATAATAGTCCCATAGAAGATAGACACCACAAAGAGATGGGAAGAACAAGTCCCAAATGCCTTTTGTCTCCCTGCTGCAGACTTCATCTTGAGTACAGCTACAGCAATGAAGCCATAGGAGACCAGAATGAGAAGAAGTGGTGTGAGGAAAATGAAAAAACACAATGCAAATAAAGTTTCTTCCATGGCTGTGGTGTCCACACATGCAATCTTGACCATTGCAGATATTTCACAAAAATAGTGATCCAGGTGGTGGTTCCCACATCGAGGAAGACTCATAGCATGGGGAGAAAGTATCATGCAATTAATGATGCCAATTACCCAGGTCATAGCCATCAGGCCTTGACAGAGTTGGGGATTCATTATGGTCATATAGTGCAGAGGCTTGCAGACAGCATTAAATCGGTCATAAGACATCACAGCCAGAAGCATACATTCAACTGTGCATAGTGTCACATCAGTGAAAAGCTGAAAGGCACAGCCAGCAAAAGTGATTTTTTTCTCTTTACCCCAGACATTGACCAACATTTGTGGGACTATATTTGTGGTGTAACAGAGATCCAAGATGGCTAAATTTCTAAGGAAGAAGTACATGGGTGTTTGGAGACATTCATCCAGTAATGGCAGCAGGATGATGGCTATATTTCCCATCAAGGCAATAGTGTAGAAGAAAAAGACAACACCAGAGATGATCGTCTCCAGCTCAGGCTGCCCAGGGAATCCAAGGAGTATAAATCCACCAAAGTAGCTATCATTGATCATTTTCTTATTTTCTTAGTATCACCTGTGAAATGAAAACTAAAAATCAACCGACAGGAAGCTTTGGTGAATATATTTATAAACAATATTACTGGTATATATAATTAGGAAAAACATATGATGACATGAAAGAAAACACAAATATTTTATGTCTCATCATTATTCTAATGTTTTTCCTGTTTATCCAATTGAGTCTAAAATTTCTCCCCAAGTCAATTTGCCTATAGAGTCCATACTCTCAATTACTTTATCTACTTCTATACAAAGACAAAAAACTGCAAATCTCATAGGAAAATTCACAGAAAAAGTGGCTAAGTAAAAGATGGACTTCCCTTTATTAATTGGGATGCTAAGAAGGAGGTTGGAAATCTGCAACAAATTATTGCCTACTTCATCCAAGAGTTCATAGAAAATGCAAGTTTCATATCTCTAACGCCCTTTTAAAAAAATTGTTTAAGCTCCACAGGTTCAGTTCTGCTATCCATTTTTACCATGCTATCTAAATTATCTGACTTTATACTTTAAAATTCAAACCTTTTCCTTTCATCTCAAAACTTATATTTCCAAATGTTATTTGCTTCCCCACGCCCCAGAGCCAGCATTCTCCCTCTTTCATTGCAGATGCTATTTTTTCACCTGTAGTTTTGATTTCACTTTTACCACCTCCTATGCAGTGATTCTTTAAAAATGTATCCATTTCTTATTTTTATACTCAGTCTTTATTATTCATTTCTGTACTTTCCCTCATCCCACGAAAATTTTGGTTCTAGTATTCATGCATTCAAAATATTAAACCTCTTCAGGAGGGGGAATTGTGTTGTTTTGTTTTTGTGTTATATCCCTAATGACTCTCCTGAGCACAGAGAAAGCATGAATAAACATTTGCTGTTTGTTAAAAGAAATTTTGATGACCACACCAGGCTCTTTCCCTTTGTATTTAAAAAACGTAGTGTGTTTTTAAAACTCAATCCAAATAATCAACTAAAAATAGTCTCTCAAACACACGAAAACATTCCTTGTTTCTAAACCAGTTGTCTCTTTCACATTATTTTTCCACTTGAATTCTCTATAGCAGGTTAATATCTCCTATACTGGAGCTGCCCTCTGCCTTCATAAATAATTCCTTTTAGTTGGTTTTTCACTAGAGTTTCTCACACTGCAACTTCGATTTCTTTCCTCCTTTCACTCTGCATTCATCTCCAAAGTTTCCTAATTAGGTATCTGATCTGCTTTCTCCAATATTTCCTTTTCCTGTATGACTTCAGTTACTAATTTTGCACACAGAACTAACTATTCTGTTTTTCTGGTCCACTCATCTTTTGCATCTTCAGATTCACAATTTTATCTAATTCCTGGGCATTTACACTGAATTTTACAACAGCAACTTCTCATATCAACATATGCACAAAATTGAATTCATTATATTTTACCTCTTAAAACAAGCACTAACTCTTTGACAGATTTGTAAACGTTTTATTTATGTAGATGTCTCACAAAGTACTTCCTATGTTCTTAACAAATGTTTGTTGAAATGAATTTACAAGTTTTAGGGTTAGAAATTAAAAGCACAAGTATTCATTTTCATTTTAGCTTATATTTCATTAGATATCAACTTAAGACTTAATCTGTGTCTCAAACTTTGAAGGAAAGAAAATTGGTATAAAAGCTAGAAGTTTTTCTGCAAACTTCTTTAAATTTGGGAACCTTGTAAAATATTTTTAAGACAATGTAATTTCTTTCCCCACTTACCCTAATTAAGCTTAGTGAGCTTTTCTGTGGTGGTGATTTAATGGAGGATTTTCTGCAGGAAAAAGATATAACTTTTCTAAAGTAGGAAATGTTTCTTTCTCTCTTTACCTAAATAAGACTGAGAGTGTAATCCTTCGTTACTTATACCTTTCCTCCCACTTGCCATTGGGATCCTACATGAGTGTGGCAGAAGCAGTCCCTGCCTGTCATCTCTCTCAGCTATGTACCTATCCAGGAAGAACCCTCCCATTTATATGATTCAGAGGAGAAACATCTTTAATGTGAAAGATAACAAGTGGATTTCCCTAAATAGCAGTGACGAAATATGTTGAATCTGAGAAGAACTTGGGGACACTGGGTAATCTCATTTGCAATTAAGACGTATTGTAAAATTTCTCAAGGGATAAAATATTTAAAAAAAAAATCTCCCGGAAAAAGTGTTACAAATTTCTGTAGTTGACCAACTCCTTCTCAACTTTGTGTGGAAATTAAAATCATCATAATTATTGGAAATAATATTAACGCAAGATCAAATGAACAAAATACTTTCATTGATGATGTTATTATTCTATTTTAATAGAAGAACACTGTGTGTCTAGATGTTATAGATTATCACAGGTGACACAGGTAATGAGCAATACAGATGAGACGCATAAACCTACATATAATAATGATTATGTTTTATTTTCTCTATCACATCTACTTTTGTACAATCTAAACTTTCAAATATATTTCAATAACAATGAAATTCCTGATTTCTACAAAGAAGGGCACCTTTAGCAATAGATACACCACAGTGTACCAGAATCACTACCACAGACAGAAAAGATGAGAGAAATGTGGTGGTAATTATTTGATAGACTTATGCCTGAAACCATAACGTATTACTTAAATTACTTCCTATTACTTCCATTGACAGCACACTGCTTGATTATATACTCCCCAGAAATTGCCATTTTATGGGTGTGTGTTCCTTGAAAAACTTTCAGCAGTTTTTCTTGTTGAATAGCTTTAGTAATAGGATCAGAGAATGTAAGTCTTGTCCTTGATTCTAGAGATTATTTATAATGACAATGTAAAGTTCTAGTGTTAGTATGGTGGAAAACCATTACTTCCTCCTCTCCTCTGACAAATCATCTCAAAATGGCAAGGAGAATAATAAAGCAGAAATGCAAACTTCCTTTAAAAAATTGTCCTCTGAAACATAGATCCTAAAATAGGAAAATATTCTGAAATTAGAGAAGATCAGACACGTGTGGAAGAATGCAGAAAAACGCTGTCCACTGCTGCCAACACCTGAAAGAGCCCATGTGGCCTCTCTGAATACAGCCTGGGGTAAACTGGCCCTCAGTGAAACAAGAGGAACAGGGGATGAAGCTTATCAATGGGAGAGTTACCACACCTTATTTGACTTCCAGAAGAAGCTACAAGAAACCACAGAGATAAACCATATTCAGAGGATATATTCTACTGTGAGATCACTTGAGAGAAGCAAGAGCGCACTGTGAATAGACCTAGAGTAGAAAATCTTAGGAGACGGTGTAAATTATGAGCTAAAAAGCTCATTTGTACACACAGCATTGGGTCTGAAGTCACATTCTTATGGCTTAAAACATGGCCTTTGTTCCTCCCCAACACAAATATTCTGAAATAATTGGTCCAGGATAAAAATAACTTATTTAACTACAGTGATAAAAAAATTAGTTCCAGATCTATAAAATAAAATAATCATAATCATAATAAATGGGCAAGGAAAGATCAGGAAAGAAGCCAATAGCAAATGGGGGACACTCATGTCACCTTTTAAAATGTTACTATGCAGCACATGAGGATTGATGATCATATTTCTTTGGAAAAGAAAAACTTAAGGAAATAATTAACTCTATAAAGCTAGGACACATGACAGAAATATAAGAACTCATAAAATACATGATGACAGAATGAGATGAACAATAACATAGTACATTCCAGAACAAGAAATGGAAGACAAAATAGAACAGAAATAAAATAAAAATTTAAAGCACAGAGAATAGACATGGCTGAAAAAACCTTAAAGTAAAAGGAAGGCAAGATTAAGAAATTGAATAAAATAAAAATGAAATGAATAGAGGTTTTTAAAAAGTTTAGAAAATTATAATTATTAAAGTTTGTCAAGAATATTAAATGTGTGTATACTTGGAGTTTATGTGTAAATATAACTAAAAAAACATAAAGGAAAGAGGAGGTCTGGAAATTGAAAAAGATCATTTTGAAATTATTTGACTTTAGTGAACTATTAGTTAATCAGGTAAAATTATTAGCCATCTATGAAAGTAATCCTGTGATGAGGGGTTAGTGTCTGGGAAGAAGCACAAGGGGAGCTTCTGACCAGGTGCATATATTCTCTCTTGACTGTGTGCTGCTTACAGGAGTCTTTCCACTCTGTGAAAATTCATTGAGCTATACACATATGAGTTTTACACTTTTCTATATGTATATTATACTTCAATGGAAAAAAATGTAATAAGAAATTTCAAACCACAAATGACAACCAAAAAAATTCCTCTTTATATTGTTGGCAAAAGGCCAACTCCTTAATAAATAAAGAGTTCCTAAAAATCAAGACAAAAAAGACTTGTAAACCATAGTAAATGGACAACAGCACTTCAAATATGAGCAGATATTTTGCAAATGGGCAAGTGGCCTTTAAATGTACAAAAAGAATATCAACTTCATTCATAATAACAGAAATGCAAAATAAAATAACACTAATACTCCATTTCTCAACTATCAAATTGAAAAGGAAATCCAAATGTTTGACAACATACTACATTAATGAGGCTCTGGGAAAAACTAAATGATGTAATTTATATTAATCTGCAATGAAAAGGTGTCTAGCACAAATAAACACTAAATATTAATTTTAAGATTCATGAGTTGAGTATATATCCATTAAAAAGAACTATGGATCCAAAACTCAATCCAGGGAATGTATTTTTTCCCATGATTCTCACTTAGCCATTAAGGAAACATTGATTCTTTGAAAAAAATAACTATTTCAAGAAAAGAGAATCATGATTGGATTTAAAATTTTCCTTGAGGCTGAAAATTGGCTTAAGTGTCTATTCGTAAATAACAGAGGCAGGAAATAATCTAGAGAAGAGACAATTCTAAATTGCTGGATTTATTCTATATGAAGGAGAGCCAAATGGCAGTGTTATGTAGAATTCATTTGCTTTGTAAGGAGTTTATGATGTTATTTTTCACATTTTCCCCATGGGCCAAGCTCTTTTCTCCATGATCATTGCTTAATTGTAACTGGGAGATTGGTTCCCCTAGGTCAAAATTTATAACATAACCCATCCTAAAGTCAATACATTCCCTTAGGAGTAAAAGACAAGGAGATGCTAGGTATCCATCTATTTTTTCAGATATGGGATAAAAGATGAGCAGAGTCAATATTTTGATGAAATTTAGACACAAAGAAGGTTGGACCCAGGAGAAACTACAGAGAGTGAAGCATTACCTTACAAGTTGAAAAATGAAGCAATACTAAGAGGTATGGGACGCAGTGGAACTTCTGAATCACTCCTTTCAGAAGACAAGGAACCTTAGTTCTGAAGAGGGAAAGTTGCTCTTACTCTTTATACTTTTCTTGATCTTACAGACAGAGAATATTGCTTAGAGGGCTGTCATTTTGACAATCAAGGAGTCTGTTTTATGGAGACTAAGACTGCAGACAACAGAAGGAGAGAGAGGTGTGATCATGGCATGTGAATTAAAAATAATTTCATTAAGAATAAAACTTGGGACCGTCCCCCGGCCAAGTGGTTAGGTTTGTGCTCTCCGCTTTGCGGCCCAGGGTTTTGCCAGTTTGGATCTTGGGCATGGACGTGGCATCACTCATCAAGCCATGCTGAGACGCTCAGATGCCAATCTTTAAGAAAAAAAGAATAAAATTTATTTAGAATGAAAGAAAAAGAGGAAAATGATATTCAAATATTTGAACAGCAAGAGTGAGTAGGGTATTGAGTTTAGGTTGGGTAATTTTTTTCTAATTTCCAGGATTGTTAATTATGGGAAGAGCTAACCAACAGATAAGGGAAATCATGCAGGGTAATATTGTTAAAGCATGAGCTGAAATCTTCCCCAAACCAATGTAGATTTGGTAAGAAATCTGCTTAGAGGTTTGGAAAATGACCTAAATAATCAAGTGGATGAGCCGTTATTTACCAAGGAATCATATTTCTACATATATGTAATTTGTAATCGGGAAAGGATTTCCAGTGGATTTAGAGGTACTACAAATTCATTTTAGCAACATAACACAAGAGTATAGAAAGTTTGCTGACATGCACCTTCTGAATGTTTCAGAGAATTTGTTATTGGACCAGTTAGGTAGTATAAATGATACAAAAGATATTCTTGTTTCCAGGACCAATTTGATTATGCATACCGCTCAAATTTATGTCCTAATCTATTGAAGATAACAAAAAAAGGACATTTTATACTAAGAAAGATAAACTAAGAAAGTATGTACTAAGAAAGTATAATGTATTCTATACTAAGAGAGCATAAGGGAAAATTATTTTGGATGATTGTGGATTAAGTAGGATGTAAAAATATTTTCTGAGTATATCTTCATCTTAGATTTACTATATGATACTTTGTCTTTCAAATCAGCCCTTGAATAAAATGTATTCTTAACAATTACTCTGTCCAGGAAGAAACTTTGAAATCAGAATCTGCCCTTTCTTCCTTCATTGCTTCCTTTCCTTCCTTCCTTCAAAAAGGGATGAGTGAATATTATACCTTGAAGAAGTGGAAGTTACAACTTGCCATGGACTAAATTTTAAATTAGGTGGAATTTGGCGTTGGTGACTTCCTTTCTATTTTCTCTGTCTTACTTCCCTTTAAGAGAACTTCTCAGGTCTGGAAGTTTTCCTGCACTGTCCAAATGACCACTCATGCATAGAAGTTTTCATCCACTGTAGAATGGCCTCTTCTTACCATAAAAATTACTCCCACATTTATATCAAACAAATCACCATATGAATGGTGAATGATGTATATATGGGAAGAGTATAAATTTTATTAGGATAATACATTAACCCAAAGGATTTAAACTTTCAATGTTTTCTTACCACCTATCAAATAACTCTGCAAATTTGTGCTATGGATATGATTAAGCATAAAAAATTGATGACTAAAGTAAAATGTTTTTAGTTATCATGGAAAGATAAATGCCACAGTAAAAAGAATCCACTAGGATCTTTTATTTTATCCACCTCTGTGCTGTTTTACATCGACTCATTGACTCCGTAACAACTCCCATGAAAAAGTTACTTGAGTTAATTGTCCAAAGACATGAAATTAATATCATATAAATCTAATCATACAATCTCCACTCTCAGTAACTGCCTCTTTGAATGATTTAATCATGTGTCCTGAGAAAGAATATTTAAAGTACAAAATCAGGCATATTGGATGGCAATGGAAATATTGTAACAAGAACCCAAGAAGTCTAGTATATATTCTAGCAAGACCAATTAGTATAACTGAACAGCAACCATTAGTGTAACCAGAAAAAAGTAGAATTAAACAAGGAATGCTCCTTGGCGGTGGGGCATTGTTTAATAACATCTGTTATATATTTGTACATTGTGAAAAGAATACCTCATCACTGAATAAAATTTGGAAAAGTGGAATACAATTGTATAATGAAAATCATTAATAATCTCAAATCCAGAGATAATCCTAACAGTCACTTTTTTAGTGTGTTTTCGCATGCTTTTGTAAGAATATATTTCCATGTATTTCAGCAATATTCAGACAACATTTCATATTATGCCTTTTTCAATACTGAGATTTTATGAGCATCATGAATAGGCATTGCATATCTAATATAAATTTTATTGATGGGACAATAATCTAATAAATGAATAAATTATATTCAACATTTCGCTATTCTGAAACATTAAGGCTATTTTTTTCTAATTTTTCAATAATGTAAATATGCCAGCGAAATTTATCTGAGCATGGAAATGTTTATGGGCATGTGATTATATATCTACGGCATTTTCTTAAGAAGAAACTACTAGATAAATGATATCACTATTACCATTTAAAAATAACATTCCTTTATTACTGTAAATTCTTGGTGATGTTTAATAATCAGTATGAAAGATTTTATTTATATTTATATAGTTATCTTTTGAAATTGTACCTTTAGTAACTGCTAACTTTGTGGACTTAATTTTAATAAAATTTAATAGAATTTCTTAATAATTGAATCTCAGGATAGTAATTATGTGTAAATTATGTCAGAATGTTTTATTCTTCCTACTATTTACGCTCTTTATTTAATTTTATCACTTCATTGTGCTAGCTAGGAAACCAGCTCGCTGTCCTTTCCAGGGCACAGCCTGTTTTGCCTAATATGCTTTGCCATCTTTCATTTCAGACAAAAGAGCCACCTTGAATTCAGACACGCGGATAGTTGGAGATGACAGATTTTATATCTTTACTAGCTAATATCTAATGTTTTAAATAAACTATGTTACAAAGTGAATGTTTAACAATTCACACACTATAAGTTTATTCATTAATCCTTGTGGCTATATACAATAGTGTTTAAAAGCACAGAATTTTTTTCCAGGGCAGAGACCAGGAGTCTGATAGCTGCACTGCCATTTACTACCTATGTAATCAGAGGCAAGTGATTTAACCTTTCTGAAATTTAGTGCCCTTGTCTATAGAATGGACGTGATTAGCGAATTTGTGAGGATTAAATGAGATGCTCTACGTAAAGTGCTTAAAAAAGCTCTTCACTCATAGAATCACTTCATGAATGATGATTGTTTTTATTGTTATTTTAATAGTCATACTTATATGTATGTGATGCATTGTACATAGTTCAGTTTTAATAAGATAGTCTTACTTAAATGATGCATTTATTTTCTACATAAGGAAAATGAAGCATACAGTGTGTGTGTATATATAAATGATCACATCCAGGACTCACACCAGGGAATTTCTGTAATATTCTTCATCGTTCTTTTCATTTTGCTACATAAAATCCATTGTGTAAGCATATTTTCCAGAAGACAGAAGATTACATGATAATTAAGTTTTATTACATGAAAGCCTGTTTTGAGATTTTTTTTGTATACTTCATACATGGCTAAATTGTGGGGAGAGTGAGACCATCCATGGAAACCACAAACTTTTAAAAAATCATGTTGTTTGATATAATCGTATATTCTTTGATATAAATATAAATGTGTTTTTGACATAAGAGAAATAAGTAAAAACTTTGGGGCTATGAGTCTTAGCTGTGTTAACTCTTGCAAATTATCCCTTGGATAAATATCATAGTAAATCTATTCCGTGAGTGTACTGCCTTTGGCACTAGGAGTTTTACTCATATTAATTTAATTACGATAAGCAGAAAGGAGAAATACAGTAAGCAGAGAGAAGAATTTACTTTCTTTAACTGTTAATATCTTTCAAAGGTCATCTTTTTAATCTGCTATAATAGAAATGCATTAAAAAGTAGCAAGAAAACAAATTGAATTGAAGGGAATGAAGTTAGAACACACGAGTAGATTAGAGATTTAATGAAGCTCCAATAAAGTTTCAGTTTCTCTCAATCTTAACGGATCCAACACCTTGTTTTTGTAACAAATCTTTTGTAATAAGTCTTTATTATCTTTACTTTTATAGCCTCTATTTAGTAAACTCTGAGTTTACTAAATGAAAGTCATAGATCAAAATATGGTTGTTAAAATAGAGACAGTTGTTAATTCTCACTTTTCTTGCTGAAGAAATAAAAGGAAATATATTAATGATTTGTTTCAGCATCCCCTATCCAGTTCCTAGGTTGCATACAGGTATGTGAACCAGGAGAAGTTCTAAGCACAGGATAATCGGGCTCCCAAAATTCGAACTGTGGTGTTCCCTGCAAGTAGTGTCACAGCAATGAGAAGATTCAATAACACCTTTCATCACTTCAATGGCTTTGTTCTAGTGGGCTTCTCTGAATGGCCCAGACTAGAAATGGTTCTTTTTGTAGTCATCTGCATCTTCTATATATTGACCCTCTTTGGGAACTCAACCATAATTATCTTGTCACACCTTGATCCCAGACTCCATACCCCCATGTATTTCTTTTTGGCTAATCTCTCTTTTTTGGACCTCTGCTATACTACCTCCACTGTCCCCCAGATGCTGGTAAATATACAGAGCCACAAAAGAAACATAAGCTACATAGGATGTGTAGCTCAACTTTTTATCTTCCTTGGTTTAGGATCCACTGAATGTGTACTTCTCTCAGTGATGGCCTTTGATCGTTATGTAGCTATCTGCCAGCCTCTCCAATACACAGTTATCATGCATTCTTGGCTATGCCAACAACTGGCAGCAGTGGCTTGGGTAACAGGTTTCAGCAACTCCTTGGTGCAAACAGTGTTGACTTTCTTATTACCTCGTTGTGGTCAATATCGGGTGGAGAATTTTTTCTGTGAAGTACCTGCCATGCTTCAATTATCATGTGTTGATACACGGATTAATGAAGTGGAGATGTATGCAGCTGTGGTAGTCATAAAAGTTATCCCAGTTGGATTGATTCTATTTTCTTACATTAACATTGTCAGAGCAGTAGTAAGGATCCAATCTTCTGAGGGTCGAAAGAAGGCCTTCAACACATGCGGGTCTCATCTGCTGGTGGTCATTATGTTCTATGGCTCAGCCATTAGTGGTTATGCATATATGGCACCCAAGAGCAACTCAGCCAAATTGAAGGGCAAGCTTCTTGCACTCTTCTATGGACTTCTAACTCCAATGCTCAACCCTCTTATCTACACCTTGAGAAATAAGGATGTTAAGGGAGCAGTAAAGAAGCTACTGGGGAGAGAACAAGAGCAAGGTGGAACATGTCTTAGGAGAATGTAGTCCTCTCACAATTCAAATTCCAGACTCTCAGACTGCCTATGGCCAACTGCCATCACTCCTCTCACTCTCAAATAATAATGGCTTGTTGTTACTATTATTATCCATGTATTTCACAGGAAGTAAAATTTTGATTATTCTCCCCCGAAATAATGAAACAGAGCTCTAAAAATAGATAATTAGTATTCATAGATTTTAGTAAAATAATTGTATTTTTGTTACTATGTGTTTTTTTCTAATGAAGTTTTAAAATTAATAGCCAAATATGATTTCTTATCACATGGCCCATTAAAACTTATGATTCAGGGAATAATCTTGAGACTTGTTTGGAAGTCTTAAAGCAGAAAGATAACTGCTTAAAATGACTAAATTGTTACAAAATTAGCAGAATGCACTTATAGATAAGAAGAAACTTCATTTCTTCCTTTCATAGTCCTTTTTTTTTATGTTGTCAGTGCAGCTGTTGTACATCTAAACTAATTTTAACCAATATTAGGATGGGGCATCCTCAGGGAGCCAAGAGCATGCTGTGGAAATCTACACTGTTCTGGAGAAAAAGAAGTGCACATATAGAAAGCTCTGTGCAATGTCTCTGACTATTATCCAGTCCTGCCAGCAGCCTCTTTTAGCATATTTCTTTAACTCTGCACCTCATCCTATGGAAGTTTTTCCTTATGGCCAATATATAAAGAACTTTTATGTTTCTCAAGTAACAGCCTTTAATATAAAAACATCTTGTGGTCCAATCAGTATATATGTTATTATTGGTGCTCAATCATCTTTATCAGCATTATAATATCTATTTTCAGCAGGCCAAATGGAAAAATAGAAATTTTTCTTTGAATGGAAAGGCAAGAAATCATATAGCTTCTGTCCACAGGATAGACATCTTCAATATCATGTTTTACAGATTCCACATTTTATGTAATGGCTGCTGAGTGAAAAGCCTACCTCTAGGCAAAAGTATCTGGGCTTGGCACAATTAAGAGTCTCTTGCATGTACTGTGAAAATAGCCAAATATATGAAAGGACGTTCCTACCAGCAATGCATCTCATTAAATTATAACCATTGTTTTCTTACCTTCTTGTGAAAATTATGGTGTTTACATTGGGAAAAGAGGAGAAAAAATAGACTGAATAGTCATCTGAGTGAATGTACAGCAGAAAAATGTGAGAAAACATCTACACTCAAAGATTGTAATGTAATAGGTCATTTAGTAATAGTGATATATAACTTGTCCTTTCCAAATATATTTGAGCAGTGGACATATAGTTCTTTTCTCCCAAAGAATATGAGCTGCTTGAAGATGTGATAAAATGTCTATCATCTTTTTTTTTTCTCAAAGATTTGTGTTTTAAGAGCAGTTTTAGGTTCACAGTAAACTGAGAGAAAGGTACAGAGATATCTCTTATAGCCCAGCCCCCATATATGCATAGCCAGCTCCGTTATAAACCTCTCACAATGTTAATAATAAAGGCGAATAGAAATTACCAAATATTCATCAATAGTAAAATAGATTAATAAAATGTAGTATATTCATAATCTAGAACACTATACAGCCCTGAAATGAAGTACTGCTACATGCAACGTCCTGGATAAATCTCACAAACAGGTTGAATGAAAAGAGCATGTATGACATGACTCAATCTGTGCAAAGTTCAAAAACAGGTAAAACAAATTTTGTTTTCAGACATTGGGTGGTGATTACCTTTAGGGAGGAAATAGTGAACGAATGGGCATGAGGGGTCTCCGAAGATTGGGTAATAGTCTAGTTTTTCATTTGGGAAGTGGTTGCATGTGTTCTTGTTTTCACTTTGTCATAATTCAATTATGTTTAGTGTTTTCTTCTTTAGGCATATTATACTTTATAAAACTATTAAAAATTCATGTCAAATAGTATAAGCTGATTACTTAAATAATATTTAATGTCTAACTCAGAGACGGTTCTCCAGAGTGACTATAAATCAATAAATTAATGTTGAATCTTTTTTGTGAATTTTTAGAGATGTAAATAATTTTGTTATTATGACGAATCTTTCACTATTTAAAAGGAGGCAATTTTCAATTTCCCTTTCCGATGTAAAAGGGAAATATGCCATGATAGTTCCAATATTGACTATTCAGAAAATAACTGATTTTTTACTTTGAAAAATTAAACATTTTTTCTAAAATAAATATACATTTCTACGTTAAAATTTTACATATATTCATCATTAAATTAGTTTACATTTTCCGAACTGGTTCCCAATCATTACTGTGGAAACCAAGTTTGGAGTGAGATATTTTCTTGAATATTCTTCACAGTCATGCCTTAGATGGCTCTATTTTAAGCACTGCAAGTCAAAGTCTGTATTTTATGGTCATTTGCATTCCCCATCACCTACTAGAATAATCAGTTATTTAAAATTGTTTGGGGACTTATGAACTAATGGGTGGTTCATTTAGAGGACTTCAATTTATTGGTGCCAGCATTTGGTTTGTCATTCTCAAAATGCATTGGCACTCGATAATCCATTTTTCAAGTGCTGATTCTTCAGCTCATTAGTGCTACCCGAGACAAATTATCTTTCCTCATGCTTAATGTGGGAATAATAGAAGTCATGAACTAAAATAAATTTTATAGCATGTAGTCAATTTAATTAAATGATAGCTTTCCCAGTATTATTGTTATAATTATTCATATGGTCAACCTATTGAATGCTTATTAAATGTTATAAATAATGATGATATATTTATTCATTCCTTAATAAAGTAAAATAAAAACTTCCTTAACGAAAAGTGTCTCTTGCCGCTTTGTCTCCTCTCTGTCTCCCACCCTGTATATCTCTCTGTGTAAGTATATATATGGAATAGAATGATGCTATTTATACAGACACTTCACAAAAAATAATACTTAAATGACCAATCAATCTTTCAAAGAATATTGCATATATTGTCTTCAGAATACACACTGTTGAATCATGTATTTGACAAATATTTGAAGCAATTATTATGTAACAAATACTTACTAAGGTAATACTGATACTATGGTAGAACAGATGGATAAAGTCATTACTGTCATGATAGAAAGATAAGCTGACACTCATTTATACTAACATTCAGCCTCCTCCAAAGTCAGTGCTGACTTCTATAAGGTGACCAAATCATGGAAATTAGACCTGTACCAAGTCGGCTTTACTTTCCAAGTGAGCCAGCATAGACAGAAGACAAGGTTGTACAACTCTAATCAAACTACAAATTTCAGAGAAAAAGCAAGGCCTTAAAAACTTCCCAGTGCCTCTCATTACTGATATTTCTCTTTTTTTACTGCTTTTTATTTAAATTATGGTTCAGGCAACATTCATAGAGTAAGAAAGTCCATTCTAGGTATTTCAGGGAATGAATTAGGCATTTACAAAATTATCAAAAGTGCTGGAATAAATAAAACTGGGAGATAACTACTTGGTTTCTGAGGGCCTGAGATTGGCTCCTGCCCTTAAAAGTCAGGACCTAAAGAAAACTGCTCCTGACCACACCTCCTTTGAAATCTGAAATGAGTGATCACAAGATGAGGCAAATCTCCAGAACACACCTGTTGTCACTGCCAGTTAGAAAGAGGCTCTACCTCACTTCTCCCTTCCAGACCCTTGGAGGCAAGAGCATATTGGAAAATGTAGTTCTCAGGCATTCAAGAAGTGCTAGTTGTTTCTATATTAATATTGTAATATTATTATTCCTTATCACTGATTATGTACTCAGTCCAAGTTATCAATTGTTTTTTCTATCATGCTTTTGGTGTTGTATATTCAGTCTTTGTTTACTTGTCTTTAATCAACTCTTGAAGATCACCCTTAGGTTTTCCTCAAACATTTTTATGGTTTTAGCTTTTATATGTAACCCATTTTAAGTTAATTTTTGTGTGTGGTAAAGGGAAGGATCTGAGATAATCTTTTTTGCATGGGAAAATTCACATATTGAAAAGACTATTACTTCTCTATTGAATTATCTTGACATATTTTTCAAAAATCAATTGATTATAGATGTTTATTGCTGGACTCTAAATTCTGTTCCCTTGATCTGTAAGTGTAATCTTAAGACAACACTACATTGTCTTAATTACCATATCTTTGCAGTAAGCTTGGAAATCAGGAAGTGCAAGTCCATTAACTTTGTTTTAAATAAAGAATGGATGCAACTCAACAACAGAAAAATGAACAACACTCCAAAAAAATGGGCAGGTGAAAGGAACAGACATTTTTACAAAGAAGATATGCAGATGGCCAACAGGCACATGAAAATATGTTAAACATCACTAATTATTAAGGAAATGGAAATCAAAACTACAACAAGATATCACCTCACACCCATCAGAATGGCTATAATTAACAAGACAAGAAATAATACGTATTGGAGAGGATGTGGAGAAAAGGGAACTCTCATACACTGCTGATGTCAATGCAAACTGGTGCAGCCATTATGGAAAACAATATGGAGATTTCTCAAAAAGTTAAATATAGAAATACCATATGATCCAGCTATTTTACAACTAAGTGTTTATCCAAGGAACATGAAATCAATAATTCAAAAAAAGTTATTCAGTCCCATGTTCATCACAGTAAATTAGATAAGTAAATGTGATAGAATGTGATTTAAAGTAGAAACTGAAGTATTCATATATATTAAAAACAATAAAAACATATAGTTAAGTATCATTAGATCTCTCCAGAGGTCTCATTGATGAGAAAACTTAGTGTTATTGGGATTCCCTTTTGAATTTTGTAAGACATTCTCCTTTTTCAGTGTTTATATTCCTAACATCATGACATTGGTTTACATCAGTTTTCCCTTAAAAGATTACCTTGTTTAAGGTTTAGGAAATATTAAATCTTGATTTATACCACTATAGAAACTCTCATTTTCCTGAATGAATTTGTCCAATTTTCAGTGGCATAAGTTTTTTCTGTCTGCTTTACTTAGCCTATTTAGAGTCTTGAAGGAATATTGATTTCAAATTCTTTAATCATTTAAAAGTTTTAGCAACCCAATCAAAGAAGTCTGACTGTGAGAAGCTAGGGATTCAGTATCCTTTTATTTTAAGACTCTCCTTAAGCATACAATTTTATTTTAAAGCCAAAAACACCTGAAGGAGAGTGTGGCTTATTAAGATTACCTTTGGTATACAAATTCCATTTTTTGAGACACTGACAATTATTATGCCTGCAATGGATATTTATTTAACAGTTCAGAGTGTTTGGAGGAGAAAGAGAGTTCTGTCCTTTAGAGCTAGGAACACTCATACTGGTGCAAACACAAAATGCACCAAGAGGATTCCAACAAAATCAGAAAAACTAAAAACCTCTCAATCTTTCATTGACAGCGTCAGAAAATACAATTGCTAGAAATATTAGAATCCTCCAACAAACATGCACACACACACATCCACACACACACATGTCCACACAAACTCATCAAATAAATTAGATTCAAACACCCTGTCACTTTTCATCTGGCAGGGACTGGATTCCTAAGAACTGTCACGTAACAGAAATTGCTTAATAATCCAAGCGTAAAAATCAAAACTGAATATCCACTACTGCTGGGACCTGTGTGGACACAACTGGCTCTGGACAATCAAAATATCAATGAAAATCTAACTTGACAAAGAATCAGACATAGAACATAAGAACCAAAAAAAGCTCAACCATGAGACTTACCCGAGCAGCCAAGGGAGGAGGGTGAGTTGCAAAGTCAAGGAGTCCAGTGCAGGTGAGGTGAACTTTCAGGCTGCATGTTTCTGTTGGTCCAAAGCTGGTGTCCAGATGGGCAATATCTCAGGGAACCTCCAGGTATAAGCTACTAAAGATTAACTCAAAGACAGCTAGCTAATTAGTGGCACATTGTTCATTTATACAAGACAGATAAAGCAATAGATTAACTTCATTTAATGCAGCAAAGCCAAGATTTATATAAGAGAAAGGGCAAAGAGGGAAAAAAAATAGCTGCAGAGGTTTTGGAAACAAGAAGTCATGTTTGTACTTTATCGGGTCAACTGATTGGCTGATGGATAACAAATGTCTGTATAGACAGGTTATCTTTGATTATATTAAGAGGGGAGATGAAAGAAAGCAATTTCAGTTGCTTATGGATTCTTTAAAAGTCTTGTGAGTTTGATTTTGCAGCATATATGTCAGATATCTCTGAATAATGCCTCCTGGTGTCTGTCCTTTAGCACTTCCACCTTAGTTAAGTTTTACCTCATTAGAATTTCTCACTCTACTGTGCTCTGATCTTTTCATACCTCCCTCTTCAAAGCCCGCTTTACATCTTTGTTTCTCAGCGTGTAAATGAGAGGGTTGAGTGTAGGAGCTACAACAGTATACAAAAGAGTTATGAACTTTCCTTGACTAGGAGCATAGGAACTGTTGGGCTGGATGTAGACAGGTGTGATGGTTCCATAGAAGACAGAAACTACCAACAGGTGGGACCTTCAAGGGCCAAGGGCTTTACACAAGGCTTGAGCTGACCTGATCCTCATTACTGCTTGGACAGTGCACCCATATGAGATTAAGATGAGTGTCAGAGAGAGGAGGAATAGTACCAAGGACGCCATGAAGAGCTGCACCTCGTCGGCGTGAATGTCTACATAAGCCAGTTGACCATGGCAGGTACTTCACAGATGAAGTGGTAAGTCCTATGGTTTCCACAAGGGGCAGCTGAAGGATGATAGTGCCCTAAATTAGGCTGTTGCCTACTCCACTCAACCATGCCATTCCTGCAAGAGACTGGCAAAGTCAAGATTGCGTAACGGAGTAGTCAGAAAACAGCAGCATAACAATCAAATAGCATGACAGCTAGGAGAACACATTCAGCAGACCCCAGTTCCAGGGAAACATAGGGTTGAATGCGACAACCCATGGGAGTCATTGTCTTTGCTGAACTGTGGAGACTCCACCACAGCTGGGGAACAATGCTGGTGGTAAAGCAGATTTCAATGAAGGAGAGGCTGGTAAAAAAAAATAATACAAGTGTGTGTGAAGCATGGGATCCAGACAGGAAATCAAGATGATTGCTGTGTTGCCTACCAGTGTCAAGAGGTAGGAGATTGACACAAGCACAAAAGAGGATCTTATCAAGCTGCAGCTGGTCAGAGAAGCCTACCATATGAAATCGCCCGCCAAATTCTCATTAATTATCATCATCACCCTACTCATACAAAGGAGAGACACACATATGAAAATATAGATGTCAGATAGTAAGAATAAATTAAAATCAGAAATACAGTTGAGAGAAATTGTCCCTGAAGATGGAGTATGAGGGTGTGTGTCATAGCGGAAGGAGGTGGGGGAAAGAAACAGCTATATGTCTCCAGGAGTAAAGTAAAAGTATGCTGTACCTACAGAGAACTGTTAAAACACATGGTGACATAAAATAGACCATACAAGAAGTGATTAATAATTAATTATTGCTCAGTTCTTTCAAATTGTTTCATTTTGTTCTAGAAATCCACCATCTTTTTTTCTCAAAAGCATCTTGTGAGATTATAAGTAAAAGAAAAAAAGGGAGATATTGTTCAATCAACTTCCCTTTAGCCATTCTATCAGTTGTCCATAGTAAAAGTAGCAAGTAAGCAAACAAACATGCAAAGAATATGGATTTTATGGAGAGTAATCATGAAATTTCTGGGACCCAAACTGAGGAGTACACA